TTTGGAGATCTATAAATTGAAGATCCTTATTCTCATAGCATAACATAATAGGATCCACAATGTAGTTGCTTAAGAGTTTTGTTTATGGGGAGATTTTGTTCTCTCAACAATTTTAATATTTATTTTCTTTTACATTACTGTCACGCCCTGAGCCTACACCCTGGACGGGACCGGCACCCGGAGACCATTTCTGGCCCCAAGCGAACCCTTGGCCTGGCTTTCTTAACTCAGCGGAAACCTAACCCAACAGAATAACTCAATGCTAATGCAAGGTTAGAAAACAACTTAACTTATAAAATATGGCCATAAAGGCAACTCGAATCTCAAAATAGAATATTTACATATATATATAGATGAGAGACTCAAAACTAACTGACTGACTGTTTGTCTATGAAGCCTCTAAAATACTGAGATGGATGTTGGGACAAACCCCGCAACATCCTAATAAAACAAAAAACTAAGAACACAAAATAATTGAGTCCTCTGGAATGCAAGGAGGCTCACCACTGACTCTGGAGTGCTCAGTTGGATCAACGACGTGCAGGATGCTGATCTGGGGTACCTGAATCTGCATCATCAAATGATGCAGGCCAACTGGCATCAGTACATGGAATGTACGAGTATGCGAGCTGGAAAACTAAGCAACAAAGGCTAGAAGGAAATCTGGAAGAAACTGAATAGCTTACCTGGCTCAACTCAACTCAACCTGACTGACTTCTTTCAATATAATGCAATTTAAAACAAGTGCGATATAAAGAAAGACTGTTTAAAACATGCTATAAACTTTGTGTGTATACAAGGATACAATAAGCCTGAAATGTATATAGAAATACAATGAACTGATGTATATAAAAATACAATAATCTCTGTGTATGAAAATACAATAACTGCTGTGGGAGTTTCTCTAACCGACAACCATCACATAAGAGCTATAGTGATGATACAGCGATCGACCTCACGCTGCCAGAGCATCTTATACCCGGCCAAAGATATAAGACCTGAACTGCCTAATGGATCCACTAGTCTAATCTGAAAAGGATTCATCTAAAAAGTATGATCCTTTTCTACCCATGGTGGCTAACATGGTTCTATGGGGGCTGTGGGTTCTTTGAACGCTCCCCCAATTCGGTGCTCGATACAACTCCCAAAAATGTACTGGCTCTTATGTTTTTAAAACATATTTCTTCCTGCTGTTATGAGATAATTACTCAAAAACTAGCCCGAAGGCTCTTTTGGAAATCTCAGTTTTCAACCTTGTTTAAATGTAAAAACATTTCTTTAAAACTTCTTTGGGAATACATAGTTCCCTAATAACTTTGAGAAAAGAACTCAACTTTAAACTCTTTACTTTACTTGAACTCTTGGCTTGATGTGAAACTCTTAACTTAACATGAAACTCTTAACTTTTGACTTGACTTGAAACTCAATACTTAACTTGGAACTTGAGCCTTAGAATGAAGTTAAAACGTTCAATGAAGACTCTTGGAAAACCTTAAAGACTTGCTTTGACTTACTTACTTCTAAGCTTGACTTCACTTGACTTGGAAACTAACTTCACTTGAATTGGAAACTAACTTCACTTGAATTGGAAACTAACTTCACTTGACTTGTACTTTTACTTGACTTTTAGAAGTACCTTGGAGTGTTGGAAACAACTAGGAAACATAGGTATAATACCTAGGAACATGTATGAAAAAAAATGGTGAATGAAAGGGAAGGATTGGTGTCCTTGGCACTAGGAGAGATGCGACAGCCCAGTCCCTTTTTCCCCAAAAATCCGACTTTTTCCCCTTGTTTCTTTCCAATTCTAAACCCTCTCAACCTCAAGGTTTCAGCAGCAACACTTAGAATCATAAAGACCCTTATTATACAATAGATTCAACTCAAAAATCACAGCCAGAAATCTGTACTAAACCAGCAAGAACTTCAACACAACACCACTACAACTTCAACAACCAATAAATCTTCTCTTGGAATTAAAAACGAGTTGGTGTGTGGGGGTATGAACCAACCAACACTAAGGATCATCAATCTCTCAACATACAATAGATCACAACTCAAATACACAGCCCAATCCTGTCCCACAACCAACAATAACTTCAACAACACAACTAACAACATCAACAACAACTAACAACTTCAACAACAAATCCAATCTTTTCTCAAACCATAAACATGAGCTTGGTGAGTGGGGGAAAGGATCAACCCACACAAAGAACTCACATACCTTGATAGGGATCACCCCTGACGAAAATCCACAATGATCTTGACGAATCTTGTTGATCTCCTCTTTCTTCTCTTCTTCTTCTCCTTCTTCTCTTCTTCTTCTCTTCTTCACTCTCAAGAACCCTAACTCTTTCTCTTTCAAAATGGGACAAAATGATCCAAAGATCAGCCTAATACAACAATATAAGCTCAAAAGAAATGATTTGTGAAAAGACTAAAATGCCCTTAAATTTCCGGACGGACTCCTTGCCAACTGCCCCAACTTTCAAAGGGCATAACTCGCTCATACGAACTCGGAATCGAGAAAACTCGATGGCGTTGGAAAGATCATTCCACAAGCTTCGAAACCATAACTGGAACTACTCCTAACTCATCCTGAGCTAGGAGTTACGACTGCTCAAAGTTGGCCAAAAACTCACTGATTTCCACACTTAGCCAAATTTCCAGATTTTTGAACTTAGCCAAATTTTCCAGATTCTGGACTGCCAAATTTCCAGATTTTAAATTTTTCCAAAAATGACTATTTCCAAATTTCAAGCTTCTTCAAAGCCACTTCAAATTGTCGGATGTTACAATTACTTTTCATATAATAATATTATATTTTAGTATAAGTTTTTGTCATCTAATTTATCAATGTCTTGATTGTAATTGTAAGCTTCCGCATGACGCCTAATCACTTACGAACCCAACAATTAAAGCTAATTTAATAGTGGAGAATGTAAATGTTCTCATCGTGTATATAATTTAGTGTAGTTGATCAAATTATACATTAATTAAATGTTTTTATTTTATAGTATAATATAGTGAACTTTTGATGGACATCTTCGTAATTTAACTTTAGGCTTAAACTCTTTCCACTTTTAGTATAGTATGGACACGTGCGTGCAGTTGCACGTGTGTCCCATGTTAGTTAGTACAACTTTTTAAAATGATATAGATGATGCTAAAACATGTAAGTAATAAGTGACTAAATTTTGGAAAGGGTAATTATTTGTAGCTATACACAATCAATTGAATTGGTATAACATTTTTCTTATGTAGTTCTCATATATCTTATACTCAGTGTGACACTTTCCTTACTTTTTTAATATTTCAAGGACATATAGTTTATAGGTAAACATAAGTAACGTTGATTATGTTTGTAAATGTTTCATATCTTAAAGTTTGTGTCTTATTTTTAAGAAACTATAGTCTCCTCCTTATATCCACATACATATCAAGATGTTGTTTCCGAATAAAAATTGTATTTCATAATGTAGAAATATTGATTAACATATGTCTTCTTTAAGGTGGATAATTATTGTTGTCAATTTCACGGGTACACTTGAAAAAGTCAGATTTATTTGTAATAGATAATTGCATGTACAACTTTCTTTGTTTGATTCAAGATTTATGAATCCTTCATATGTAAATATTATATGAGAATATTAACTAAATTGTTTAAATATAATAGTATTACGAAATATAACATAATCAATCCATATTCGCAAACAAGTTGAAATTTAATACAAATGGTTGAAATAATACAACTGGTTTGGCAGCATCACGAGTGCAACTGACTAAAGTGGTGCAATTTTCTAAAGAAAATGGCACAATCCTTGTTTATGATTATGCATATGCTATGTATATATGTGATGTTCGTTTAAAATCCAATTTAATTTCCGTATCGCAATTGATAGATGAAGACACCTTTGGGAATCTCAAATTTTTGAAGTTGGAAGAAGTGATTCTTGCAAAGTGGAAGGTTGGAGATGAATCCTTTCCCGTTCTTGAAAAGTTAGATCTGTTGGAATGTTATAAGCTTGAGGAGATTCCGCCTAGTTTTGGGGATATTGGTTCATTGAACATAATCAAACTTGTAAGGAGTCCTGATCAACTTGAAGATTCGGCTATGAAGATTAAGGAATATGCTGAAGATATGAGAGGAGGGGACAAGCTTCAGGTCCTTGGCCCGAATAATATCCCGTTATTTAAGTGATTTTAAGCACCATGTGTGGAAGTTCTTGAGCGCTTACCCTGGAAAAAAATGTGAGTACAGACATCACGTATGCAACCATGTACTGTTAAGTGTTATCAAGTCTCGAGTCTTGGCTGATTTTGTAGTTGATTTCGGTACATGTATACTCCCGGTGGCTGAGAATGAAGCAATACTTTCGGACTGTCTCAGGAGTGTGGATCCTCTTCACAGATAGATCATCCAACAAAATGTCCGGTCTCTGATTCATTCTCATTACACCTTCCAAAGAGATAATCCGACAAATCAATTAAGTACCATTTCTCAAACTAACAATGAAACCGAGTTTGAGGCTGTGCTTACAGGACTCGAGTTGGAAAGTGACTCTCGATTAGTGGTCAATCAGATCCAAGGGACATATGTGGCACAAGAAGCCCTGATGCAACAATACTTAGATAGAGACAGAGTCATAAACATTTTGTCCCAATTCCGTGCAGATACCCTGGGACTTGGGAGGACAATGATTTTATGTCGTGCTAATCCTTATTTACTACTACTACATCAACCGTTGGGTCTAGTGTGACGTCATACGCATCATTTCATGCATATATAACGTAACATCCATTCATTGATAAGACTAAAGGGGAAAGTGTGAAAATGGAATCAAATGAGAATAAAATTCATATAATGAATTGAAATGACAACTGAAGTAATCCTCAAACGTCTATAGATTATTTAGTAAAAAAGCAAACAACAAAAAGGGCAATGTGTAAACAGAGCAACATATGAACTCTTTAGTGCAATTGGAAAAGATTCATGATCACCACGGAGCATCAGCCTCGAATGCGAGTGCAGCGCTTGCAGCAGGCCCTTCACTCAACTGTCGACCATATCCGCTCGAGGCAGCTGACGGTCCCCACGCCACACCTGAACTTTGGATTTGGCTCATTTCACGTCGTCCATTCAAAGTTCTTCCCTTGCAAAATGATGGCAAATACACCCCTGCCACAATATATGAAAAGTTATTGACACATTCTTTTTTACTCTATATACAAAGGAAATCTATAGCTTAATTACTAAAAATAGACGATTTAACTTATACACACTGACACTGTAAAAAAAACTCTTACATCATCCATATTAATGTGATCATTTCATCAAGTTAAAATTACTACTTATAAATGACATGATTGTGTAATAAGGGCTCCTTTTATATTTGGCCCGCTAAATCATCTTTCAGTTGACCAGATAGTGTATAAATTCTTTTATAATGACACTACATAAAAGTTAATGACATTTGAAGTTATGAAATGTAATACCTTCTCCCAAAGCCAAATTGTAGTAAAGATCAACAATGTTGGGGCACTTTTGGTTGCATTGTTGAGAACAAAGCTTAGAAGTGAATGTTGATTCAAGAAGTGAATCAGAAGAAATGCCAAGAGAGTTTCTATCGGCTCCACAAGCACTAATGCACTCATCACTTTCAATCAAATTTGTTATGTCAATATTGGACACTAACACCTCTGAGGTCTTGCATTGGTATCCTCTTGTTCCCTCAATTGATTCATAACTCTCCAAAGAGCAACGCTTCCCTGACGAAGCAACTGAGTAGGCACACAGTCCTACTGACAAATCCTCACACACAATTTCTCCTGTATTATCAAATAATGATACGAAAAATGTATCAAGATCACGATCGATATTAGCACTAGCATCAAGATCATCACTAACAAAATGATTTTTAGTTGTATACAAAAATTTCATCAGAACCCTCTCTGAATTGCTAATATCATTTTTAATATGGAATAATTTATTTATTTTTCAAAAAATACTTTTCACTTACCAATCAACTACTATAAAACATATACTAGAACAAATATTTTACAACAAAATAATTTTTGAGGAAAAATTACTCCACACAAAGGATTTAATCTCAAGGTCCTATTCCTTGAATTAGATAAACATAGAGGTGTTACCAAATTTAGCTCTATATAATTACTTTTATCAATAATATAAAGATTGTATAATAGAGGATCTTTTTAGGCTATCGAAAAAAGGGAGTTCATCTGTCTTGTGAGGATTCCTGACGATCGGTGACACAAATCATGTTACTACAAATTTGCTTTCGTTAAGGAGAAACTCATAAGTTTCCTAAACTAGTATTTACGTACGTTTAAATACTACATATATAAAAGAAGAGTACATACCATTATTAGCAAGAGCTCCATGAATGACAAATGAAAAAACAAGGAAAATAATGAGCTCCATATTTTGTAAACAAGAAAAATATCCCTTCTTCTTAGAAAAGTAAGAAGAGAATTTGTTTATGAGATATATGGAAGAAAAAAGGTTCTTTATATAGGCAAAATTTGGATGAGTCCAATAAGAAATGCCACCTAACCACTTAAAGGTAACTATATATTTTAAAATTTTGTTATATATTTAAGCTTACTTATATTGATAGACTAAATAATTTTCAAATTATAAGTATAATAATTACATAATTTTGTTATTACCAATGACGTACGTAGGATTTTGCACAAGCAGTGTCGACTGATTGTTAATTATAACTCGGTTTGTAAATGAGTCAAGGGTTCTTGTGGTTTTAAAGCTTTATTTAGTATTTTGAATGATATTTACTTTCTATTATTTTGTGTACTCTTTGTAGGTTATCATTACATACATACAAGGGCCGTTTGGTTCGCGTACAAAGTTATATCGAAATTATAATGCATGAATTGTAATGTTCAGGTTAACAATAATCCATTCGTTAGTATTATAATTATTATTATTATTATTATTTGTGGAACCCTAGAATAACCCGCAGTCGCTATAACATCTGCCCTTTGGGTGAGCATTTTATGCGCACTGGGTAAACCTCCATTGTGTAATAGTCTGCAAACCACATAGGGGATATACACCGCATTAGGCAAGCCCTGTGCGACATGCTCGATTGAGAAGGCATTGAGGATGAATCGATCCCGAGTCATTCGTGTGGATAACCACCCTCCAAACCAACTGAATCATCCTGAAGGACCCATTAGTTATCATTTATAAGTGCATATACTTTATTAACGAACGATAAAAAAAATAGGATATATGATGTATAATAAAAAAATATTAGTTTAGTTATAAGTTGATACAAAATTTTGTTTACCATTTTACCCTTTGTACATTAGACTAATTTTTTGCCGAATGGAGACCTTTTTCTTGTTCTTATTTTTGTTATAATATAGTAAAGCCTGCAGAATGGTGATTTGGATTTGCTATTTTATATTGTTTCAATGTGGACAATTTTGCGGAAATTTCAAATTGCCTTGTGTCTTTCTTTTATTATTTATATCTTTATTTATTCACTGAAATCTGGAATCTCATTTTATTTTTTTTCTTAGAAGAATCAAGCTCCATGCATGGGTAGGGAATAGGGATTGCTCAGTAATTAATTGTTAATTTTGACATAGAAACCAAAGCCATGACTAGTTGTAACTTGTACACATGTGCACTCAATTGATTTTCACAGGTGTTCGATACCTGTTTTGGGACCTAGTCGTATAATCCAATATGTTCAGAAGTTCCAATTTGGGAGTAAAGCACTATCTACCGAATTTATTATATTCGAACTTAAGACCTCTGGTTAAGGAAGAAAGATGAGCATCGCGTAGATGGTGTTTATCCAACAAGGGAACACAAACTCTAAAGTTTCCATGAAGGCATAAGCATCCTTGAACTATTGATAGTTTTAAAAACACTGCTCTATTTGACTAACTAAACCTAGATACAACCCAAATCTGTCACATGATATAGCAAGTGGTCTCAAACTCTTGTAAGAGCACGGAGTTTCTTAATAAAAAGCTGAGAGAATATTAAAGCCGAGAGAAGTGCTTAAAACACTCCAAAACTTGGCTAGAGTTCAGTTAGTCAAGTTATAAGGAGTGTTTTTAAAAGTGTCAATAATTCAAGGATAAACAAATAATTCACGCTCATTATATTCAAACAGATTCTCTGTTACTATACAAAGTTTTAATGGGTGAGTGGAATGTACCATGGTGCATCAGTGATACAATTGAGGAAATAGAAGCTCACCTAAGTGGGAAAGAGCACATCATGAGAGAAGGAAACCAGTTAGCAGACTATTTAGCGAACAGAGCAATAGAGCAAGGAAACTGTATTTTTTCAGATTTCAGGAGCATGGATATAAAAGGGAGAAAGATCATCAACGGTGATAAACTAAATTGCCCATAATTAAGAGTTTCACCACAAAGGAGATAGGGGATGGGAGGCTAAAGCATTGTTCTTTCACATATACAATATTTACAGAGAGCCTCGAGGGGAACAAGAAGTGTGAAAAGCAGGATAGCCTAGGATGTCGCACCCAACAAGCACGGACTCGGCAAAAAGGAGAAGTTGAGTTGCATAAACCTGGAAGACGCCTTAAGCACCAATCTGAGAAGGTGGACTGGAGTTCTCCAAGCACCACAGTCAATCACCACCTACAACAAAGAAATCATGGAGCTAAGAGTAGGAAACAGGGAAAAAAAGAGAGGGATATGTAGAAAGAAGGAGATCAGAATAGACGAAACAAAGGGGCTGCGGAAACTAAAACTGAAGAATCACTGACTCTTGAAAGCATGAAGCGAAGCTGCAGATCGCAGGCAGCAGTTCAGCATCAGGTAAAATGAATAGGAATTGAGTCGATTTGAACTTAGTGGAAATCCTACTTTTTAGGGACGTGTACATAGAAAGAAAGCAGAGGGCTGGGTTGATCTTTCTTGTGTTTAATTTTGTTTATTGGATTTGGGTAATAGGCCCACATGAGTTTGTACTGAAAGTTTGCCCAAAAAAAAAAAAGTTTAGAGGTATTTTCAATACTTCTCTCTATATAACAAGGTGCTCAAATTTTTATGTTTAATTTGATATCAATATTTTAATAGCCAAGTTTTGAGAGTTGAGATCCTAGGCAAGCAATCCTTCAAGCGAGCATTAGACAATTTGAAAGTTATTGTATCTGTTTCCAATATTATTGGTTTTTACTGCTTTAATAATAAGCAAAGAGTCATTTTACTGGACATAAGTAGTATGAGTATATACCAACTACAGCATGCTTTATCATCACTCAATCACAGATTGCTTAGCAAAAGCAACAAATATTCAATATGCAATTAAGGGATAGTGACAAGTTTGACAAAAATACAGGTTAGTCGCTTTCTCTTCACTACTAAAGTTCATGCACAGTTGAAACGAACTATTACTTAAAATATAAGATAAGATTTCCCGGCATAAGCATACTAGTCATGATATGCTTCATCTTCGTCCTCGTATTCTTCATCCTCATCTGCTACTGCATCTTGGTACTGTTGGTACTCGGAGACCAGATCATTCATGTTGCTCTCTGCCTCAGTGAACTCCATCTCATCCATTCCTTCCCCAGTGTACCAATGCAAGAAAGCCTTCCTCCTAAACATGGCAGTGAATTGCTCACTGACACGGCGGAACATCTCTTGTATTGAGGTTGAATTTCCAATGAAAGTTGATGCCATCTTTAGACCAGTTGGTGGAATATCACATACTGTTGACTTGACGTTGTTGGGAATCCACTCAACGAAGTATGAAGAATTTTTGTTCTGCACATTAAGCATCTGCTCATCAACTTCCTTGGTGCTCATTTTCCCCCTAAACATTGCTGATGCTGTCAAATAGCGGCCATGCCTAGGGTCAGCAGCACACATCATGTTCTTTGCATCCCACATTTGTTGGGTAAGCTCAGGAACAGATAAAGAGCGGTATTGTTGTGAACCACGTGAGGTAAGTGGAGCAAACCCAACCATGAAAAAGTGGAGACGGGGGAAAGGAATGAGATTCACAGCAAGTTTCCGTAGATCAGAGTTAAGCTGTCCAGGGAATCTGAGGCAACAAGTAACTCCGGACATGGTTGCAGAAATTAAGTGATTCAAATCACCAACTGTTAGAAAACAAAAGCACCATCAGGAAAAGGATAAGTTTCTCAGAAGTTGCAGAATAAGTGACCCACAGCATGAAGCATATTCATGTTAATTGTTGCTAAGCAAACACAATCAACCAACCCTCAATCCCAAATGAGTTATGGTCAGCTACGCAAAAAATCACTATATAAAGTTAGACTATGAATGAAAATTGAGGGAGAGTTTTAATAACTAAACAGTTGAAACACATTTCATGAAGATTGATTAAGATAAGCTTTAAGAAAATGAAACTGAAAAGAAAAAATGAAATGGCTGCAAAAATGGGAGGCCACTGGCGCTAATCAGGATATTAGTTTCAATTATCTAACATCAAATAACATATAGAAGACTCCATCACCACGGCTCAAAATCGTTGCTTGTTGAACTAGACGCATAAGTAAATGAGTTATGTCATTAACTATGAATGGAGGATACTAACAGCTAGGAGTTGTAAGTTTGAGGGTTCGGAAACAAATGTCATATAAAGCCTCGTTGTCAAGAACCATGCACTCATCTGCATTCTCTACAAGCTGATGAACAGACAATGTAGCATTGTAAGGCTCTACAACTGTGTCTGAAACCTTTGGAGATGGGAAGACAGAGAATGTCAGCATCATCCTATCTGGGTATTCCTCTCTAATCTTTGAAATGAGAAGTGTCCCCATTCCAGACCCAGTCCCTCCTCCCAGGGAATGACACACCTGAAACCCTGCATATAGTCACACATATAAGCAGCAATGGTGCATGTATGACTATGTATATACCCAAAAAAATAAAGTCACAGGCAAATGAAATCAATAAACATTAGAACTTGTGATAGGCTGATAGTTGAACCAATTCCACGAGTTTATAATATGAACAAACATTTCGAGAACACCTTTAGGCAATAGCAATTTTCAGGTTACTTGTGCACAACCTCAAGAATAGATTCAATCAACATAGCACCCACTGTGTACCAACCATTGATTCATTCGATGTTCATCTTTTAAAGCAAGTCGAGATTCTCTAAAACGATAAATTCTCTAAATACACACACATACCAGACCTGAAGTGTGATAACATGACTATGTTCACATATCAAAATGAAATCATAAGCATATATGAAAAGGTAAAATTATTGAACATACCATATCAAACGTAATCCCACAAGATAAACAAATCAGTATATGCACAAGCATTTAAACAGCACCATGTAGGCAATCCCAAACATTTAAACATAAATGTCAGCAATCACGATTTTATGCTTCTCAAATTAACAAAATACATCATGACATGCATAAGCATTCAAAC